TGTTGTTGTTGTTGTTGTTGTTGTTGTTGTTGTTGTTGTTGTTGTTGTTGTTGTTGTTGTTGTTGTTGTTGTTGACTTAATGGTTCTTGGGCAGTGTATGATTTCAGTTTCTTCCATCCATGTCTCTCATCAGTCTGTAGCTTCGTGCATCATCTCACCACACGTGTGTGTGCGCGCGCGTGTGTCTCTGACGTCAGAAGGCGGGGCTCCTCTCTTTCCGTCAGGCTGCTGGTTGCTGTTTGTGGTGCTGAAACGACGCCGTGAGCCCCGCTTCTCTTCTCTTTCCGCTGCTGGTTTCTGCAACATGCTGCTTTAAGAAAGAAGCCCGAGCCTCCGACCAGCCAGCCTGCCGACCAGACATGCAGTTCCAGCGGGAGGTGTTCGTTATGGACTAGTGTTCGGGCAGGAGGAGCGGTATGGAGTCACCGTGGCGTCCCGTCCTCTTCGCTGCATTGGCTGTCAGCCTCTGCTCCCCACCTGCTGTCGGAGACGGAAAATTCGGTGAGCTGTTTGCATCGTTTTCTCTCCCCTTTTTTTTTAAGTCGCTGTGAACTTAGCTGGCCATTATAAAAATTATATTTAGTTTGGCTGCAAAAGTTCAGGCAATCTCAGCGGCGAATCCCTAATGTGCTCGCCGTCGTCCAAAGTTGAGTTCATGCAAAAAGAGCAGCAGACTGAAGCTGAAGATCCATCAAGAAAAGTTACGTAATCTCCCAGGCCTAATGGACAAAACGTTTCCTCTAGGAGCCTTTTTTCCTTTGTTTAACTACATGAACAGATCTGGATCTGAATCTCATCCATGATTTACATCCATAATAAAACTGTTCTATTTTATTTCTTGTAACTCTAAACACACCTGCTAAGAAACATGATTTAAGTCGGTTTTAATATGGTATGTTACTACTACTATGCCTCCAGGGAAATGTCTTTTTTGACACTTTATTTTCATTGTCGAAAAAAATTGAAGGTATTAAATAATGTTATTGCCCGTGTCTGTTAGCAAAATATCTCCTAACCAACTGAACGTATTCTCATGAAACTTTCAGGAAGTGACAACTGGATGTACAAATACAAGTGATTAACATTTGGAGTCAACCCAACTCAACTTGGCCGCCACAGCCAACTGACCATTAAAAAACACAAAAATGGCTATAATTCTGACATTTTTACTGATATTGACATACAATTTAATGTGTTAATAGCTGAGAGTGATCCCCAACAAATATTCTGAGCACTCACAGATTGTGCAAGAACTTGGTTTAAATGCTTCCCTGTAACTATTTGAACTTGACTATGTGTGTCTGTGAGCAACATATTTCATGAACTATTATCTGGATTTTATTGAAACTTTCCAAATTTAATAGTGGGATATACACTCACCGGCCACTTTATTAGGTACACCACGCTAGTAACGGGTTGGACCCCCTTTTGCCTTCAGAACTGCCTCAATTCTTCGTGGCATAGATTCAACAAGGTGCTGGAAGCATTCCTCAGAGATTTTGGTCCATATTGACATGATGGCATCACACAGTTGCCGCAGATTTGTCGGCTGCACATCCATGATGCGAATCTCCCGTTCCACCACATCCCAAAGATGCTCTATTGGATTGAGATCTGGTGACTGTGGAGGCCATTTGAGTACAGTGAACTCATTGTCATGTTCAAGAAACCAGTCTGAGATGATTCCAGCTTTATGACATGGCGCATTACCCTGCTGAAAGTAGCCATCAGATGTTGGGTACATTGTGGTCATAAAGGGATGGACATGGTCAGCAACAATACTCAGGTAGGCTGTGGCGTTGCAACGATGCTCAATTGGTACCAAGGGGCCCAAAGAGTGCCAAGAAAAGATTCCCCACACCATGACACCACCACCACCAGCCTGAACCGTTGATACAAGGCAGGATGGATCCATGCTTTCATGTTGTTGACGCCAAATTCTGACCCTACCATCCGAATGTCGCAGCAGAAATCGAGACTCATCAGACCAGGCAACGTTTTTCCAATCTTCTTTTGTCCAATTTCGATGAGCTTGTGCAAATTGTAGCCTCAGTTTCCTGTTCTTAGCTGAAAGGAGTGGCACCCGGTGTGGTCTTCTGCTGCTGAAGCCCATCTGCCTCAAAGTTCGACGTACTGTGCGTTCAGAGATGCTCTTCTGCCTACCTCGGTTGTAACGGGTGGTTATTTGAGTCACTGTTGCCTTTCTATCAGCTCAAACCAGTCTGCCCATTCTCCTCTGACCTCTGGCATCAACAAGGCATTTCCGCCCACAGGACTGCCGCTCACTGGATGTTTTTTCTTTTTCGGACCATTCTCTGTAAACCCTAGAGATGGTTGTGCGTGAAAATCCCAGTAGATCTGCAGTTTCTGAAATACTCAGACCAGCCCTTCTGGCACCAACAACCATGCCACGTTCAAAGGCACTCAAATCACCTTTCTTCCCCATACTGATGCTCGGTTTGAACTGCAGGAGATTGTCTTGACCATGTCTACATGCCTAAATGCACTGAGTTGCCGCCATGTGATTGGCTGATTAGAAATTAAAYGTTADCGAGCAGTTGGACAGGTGTACCTAATAAAGTGGCCGGTGAGTGTATATCTACAACTGACAAACTTTTAAAGTTAACCTCATTTAAGATGGCTGCCTCAGCCAACTGCTCTTAGGAAACACACACATGCCTATATGTCAACAAGTTTGCAAGGTATTGCAACTATTTGTTGGTTGCAGCTGAGAGTTATTTACAACACACACTGCAAGTAATGATCTTTGCTTGAGACTTTAGCATCATACCTATTGTTAGCAAAATATCTAATTTACCACTGAATAGATTTTGATTATATTTTTTTAAGAAAGTAATCACTGGCTGTACATCTACAACTGATTAACTGTTGGAGTCAACCCAATTCAAGATAGATGCCACAGCTAAYTGACCTTAATCTACAGAGCATCCATTGTAAGAAGTGTCCTTTTGTTTGTTACAACTACAGTGGGTTTCGAGAATCTCTGCAGTTCTCACCGACATTTTCTTTTACACTTCTTTTCACGCCTCTTTGAGCTGCAGCCCGAGTGCGCACGACAAAAAACTTCATCACAAGCAAATATAGGTTTCCGGCTGGCTGTAAAGATCTGTGATGATTCATACCTCCAGACACCGCGCTGCATCAGACTGAATATTTTTAGTAACTGGAGAGTGCCCTTTCCTTTTATGTCAGCATGTATATTTCTTAACGTCTATGTGTTAGGTAATCTGTGCTCTTCAAGACATTATAGGTACATAGTAATAAATCAAGCCCAGTAGTTACAACTTTTTATTGCCTTTTTTTTTGCATGTTGGCTAATTTGTGTATCAAAATGCCTGTTAATGAGTTAATGTGCAAAAAACAGTGTATTTAATATTTTAAGGCCTGGTATTCCTTAAAGAAATGCAAACTGCCACTGTTTTTCACATCACGTTTTAAGACTAAAATTATCTTTGTGAAAAGTAACGGAATTGTTGTTATCTTTTAAAAGTTTATCAGTTGTAGAGGTACATCCAGTGATTATTTCCTGCAAGTTTCATCAGAACTGACCCAGTGGTTCATGAGTAATTTTGCTAACAGACCAAGTTGACTTCAAGCACAGTGCTTAATGGTAACATTTTAAACGAAATAGGACCAGTCTCAGCTTCTACTACGCCAAATTCTAGGTCAGTATGTGTCAAATCGACAAAGTTACCCCTATTTTTGTGTTGTTGAAGATGAGCTGGCTTGGGCGGCCATCTTGAATCAGGCTGACTTCAAAAAGCAAATCAATTATACACGCTCATCCAGTGATTACTTTCTGCAAGTTTCATTCAAATTTAGGTGAGATATTTTGCTAACAGACACAAACAAAAGCATTGTCATGCTTTCCCCTTTTAGGCGGCATATAAAGCATTAAAAACTTTTCCTTTTCACATAAAGAGAGCTGGCAGGTTATCACTTAGTTTAAACTAAAGTTACAGAAAGCATCATTTGAATAATGAACACATTGACTACAGAGCAGTGTTTAGCCAATGAGAAAAACAAATGCAGAAATTGATTTTGGTATGCTGCAACACTTCAGTGCTTTTCACTCAGAATTTCTCTCAGGATTGTTGTTAAAATTCTGTTCAGCATCTCTTTTCTGTTTGCAGAGGTTTGGCAGTGCTCTGAATCCCAAATAACAGCCACCGAGAAGCCCTCAGCCTTCCAAACAGACAGGCGGCCATGCTTTAGCCGCAAACTTAGGGTTTTGCTGATAAGAGGCATGTTTTTCAGTAAGCAATACAGATAACGATCAATGTAATAAAACACACTTGGATTGCAAATAGAAAATGTATGAATGTGGCTGTTATTATGTTCCCAAAATGAGGAACACAGAGATTAGACTGGGTCCACGGTTTAGCAGTGAAACCAAAGCTTGCGTATTGATTATGGGGATCACCAAAAGCTTTAAGAGATTCTGTTGCTGCTCCTCTAAATCAAATTCATACTAATGACTCCGTTTTACTCAAATTCAGAGGCATGCCAGGCGCTGTCCTCTCATCTCCAGTGTGTAACAGAAGACATGATGCTTTAAAGCTCAGACTTTGAGTCTTTTTTTTTTTAGAAATGACTTTCAGCAGCCATTTCCTAACACACTTGGACATGATAGCTTTGATTCATAGGCTTCTTTGTTTTATCTGTTTTGCCACAGGCCTTTTTCTTCGAATAGAGTTTATGACTGAGAGCTGATGATAAATAACTTTCAATGGTTGTAAATCATTCATGGGGATGAAAATATGCAGGGATTTGGTGCATATTCCATTACAGTTCATGGTTATGACCATGAAATAGTAAATCCTGGACAGGTGACATCTGCACATTGAATGGTTGAGGCAGTTTTTGACATCTAAACCAGTGGTTATCAAACTGTTTCATTACAACCCAAGAAACTAAGGTCTATACTTAGCTCAAGTACTACAGTATATGGTCTTCATTGAATTTAGTTGTGTTTATTTAGTTATGTGTATTTATTTTAAGATTGCTCATTGCACTGAAKGAAATTTTTGTGGCTGAATAGCTGAATTTTACAGTCCTAAATCTTGTACTTTGTGATCAATTTTACTCATTTACCTTAAACAGGAAGAGAATCACCAATGTGTGTGCTTAATGTCTCCCTCCGCAGGATAAATAAAAACTTATTTACCTTACAATGTACCAGTGGTGACCTAAGAAGTACTGCCCCTAGGGGTGTGACCAAGATTTTTATAAAACGAGTTTGAACACGTTTTGGCTGGAAGTTAGAAGCCTTTGCATTTGGGTTCTGATTAGACTCGGGGCCACACACACAGGCTCTTGAGAAACTTTAGATCTATAATGAAACCTTTTACTGAGAACTGGATTGTGTTTCCTACATATACTGGCTTCCAATTTTGAACACTTTCTAACAGCTCTATTTCTAATTTGCATAACGTGAGACTTTACCTTAATTCCCAAACAACTGAAAACTAATGTCCTGA